TTTTATTTCTTTATTTTTTGGTTTATCTTCTTTTAGGACTTAAAAATCAAAGGCAACAAAAGAAAAGCGTTGAAAGTATAACTTACCCTGAATCAAAAATTAGAGAAAAGTTGTGCCCCAACTCAATCCACTCCTCTTCGAAATCCTGAAACGTTCTTTCAGGTGAAGAGGTTACATACTCCTGGTTTTTATTGTTATCTCTGGAAAAATCAACAAAGAAAATAACTATAAATGACTGTTTAGACTTCATTTATGGTCCAAGAAAGATAACCTAAGTTATATGTTTGTGCACTTTTTTTTATTCGCAAATAACTTTGTGATTGATCTGCTTTATTTATTTAGTTATATTTATTATAAAAAATAAAAAAAAATATCAAAATAAAAAAAATCGATTTAAATTTTCATGAACCTAAATAACAATAAATTTTTAAGTAATTTTATGTTTCACGTATAGGAATAATATCCAATGTATTATCTCAACTTTTATTAATTTGAAAACATTAATCTTAATAAAAAATACAATTAACTATAAACTTTTAAACTTCATTTTACCAAAAAAAAAAAAAAAAATAATAAATAAATAAATAAATAACGAGATATCGTAATTAAGACATTGATGTTATAATGTAATAACTTACTGAAATTCAAAGAATGACTCTGCCATAATTATCTCTGCTGCTTTCTAACCGTTGCGTTTTTCCAAGTTGAATTTTTACAATGATGCCATTAACGTTTATTCTTCCCTTTTTATATCCCGGGGGTGGGTCTTCTGCGCCTTCTAGTTGCCATGGGGGTTTCTATTTTTATATTATTCTGGTAGGATAAGGGAGGTGTGTTCTAGTTGTCATGGGGGGTATCTATTTTTATTTCTAATAAAGTCTATTATAATGAAAGGGTTGGGGTCCATTGGGTGTGGGGAGGGGTGGGATAAGGAAGGTGTGTTCTCGTTGTCAAGAGGGATCTCTATTTTTATCAGTTCAAGTTTTGTACATTTAAAACTGCCGCGACCTTAATACACGGCTGCGCTTAAAGAATGTCGGTATCACGTGAAACTTAAAGTATGAACAGATAGGTTAGAGTTATTTAAATAAAATATATGAATTCATTAAAAATAATAAAAGTTAGATGAAAAACGTAAATATTTCGCAATGATTCCTTATGTAAAATTGAAACAAATTGGGGAAAATATGGGGGGGGGGGGTAATTCGAAATTAAATGTACTTTATTTTTTCTTAAATTTTAAAAAGAAACAATGTCACTGAAAACTTGTAGATTGCACAGTATTCTTTTTTTTAATACGATAGTAATATTCACCGTTGTGATAGTTTTAAAAGTATGCAAACATTAATTAACAAAGTTAAACTCATTCTAGGTTTTGAAAATTATAAAAACTAAGAGAGAGAGTGTGTGTATATTTATTATCATAGTCCAAAATAATAAACGTTTTTCCCTGGCCTTTCAATGATTTGATGGTACGTAAAGTACCAAAATCGTAAAAAAAGAAGAGGAAAACTTCACATATTTCGGATAGCTATTATCATAGATATGTATTTTTAATCCACATATCTACAGATTTTTTTTTTTACATGTACATGTTCATTTAGATATATATTATAGTGTCCTCTACAAAAATTCAATTTTTTGTAAAATTGTCATGTACAAATTTTAATTGAAAAAAAAATCTAATTTTTGTAGAGGACATTAGGATATCACATTGCATGAGTGACCATCCCTGATAAAGATCGTTTGTTAAATAGATTCACGAATGCGGTATGATTTTTTTTTTATTCATTGTTTTAAGAATGTCAATTTGTCCTTAAGGGTATGACCCGATTTGACCTTTAAATACCTGCCCGCATTTTTCTTCAACGCTTTGTCTTTAGAAATTATTCATTTTAATTGACCCTTTTTTTCTAATTGGGGGTCTATAATTTGTGTAATTGGAACATATCTGGGTATGAGTCATTTTCGCCCGCTGTGATAAACAATGAAGTACAGTTGTGTATAGAAATATATCGGTCATCACTAAAAATTAGAAATGTCAAGAAAAAAAAAGTTAAACAAATACGGAAAACAGTTTAAAATGAATTTTGCAGAAATTGTTTATAGAAAATGGGGTATTTAAGGCTGTTACGTTGATATATGCATTATTGCTATATCTAGACTCAGAGTAGCCCACATCTAACTGTCTAGACAGTTCACTGTCTCTCAGTAAGTTTTTTCTGTGATTTTTGATTAGTACATTTCATCCTAGTGTCCTTTAACGTAAATAAAATAAAATAATGTAATTATATAGACTCTGTAGCAAACGATGTTACATCTTAAAGGTTCATAAATGAAATATAGATCTAGTTAATCGGATTAGTAATGTTAATTAACCCACCTATTTCTTCTGGGAGCGGAATATATATATATATATATATATATATATATATATATATATATATATATATATATATATATATATATATTTTTTTTTTTTCCCTCATCCAAAGAAAAAAAAAGCTGATTTGCTGGAATAAAAAAAAAATGTATGTATAATGTATGTATGCATGTATGTATGTACTTGATTTGAACATTAGGTTTATTTTCTCTCTGTCTTCTATTAATCTGAAAAAGAAGTCAAAAGTTTTATTATATTTTTTTTCTTTTTTCTTTTTTTTTGATACATTTTATATTTATAACCTCTGTTACCTAGTATTAGAGGGAAAAAGTGTATAAATTTCGGGTCACCCCGACTAACGTGTCACGTGTCCAGAAGTCCGTGCAAATTTTGCGCACTTTTCAGAGATGATCATGATGGCGAAGAGGATGAGGGTGTTGTGTGTTTTCACGCTATATGCAATGGTTTTGCTTGTGGACGGATGTACAAGATGTTGGCCGAAAAGTTTAGTCAATCGTGTCATGAACTGTCAACACATTTATTCGAATTGTGTGACCCTGACGATTCCAAACAACTGGGAGAGTGTACGAGAGCTCAGGGTTTCGAGGGGTTCCACGAAAGTAACAGTCGAAGGAGGGTCTACCAATGATATCGATGTTATCAGAGATAGACGTGGAAATTTCTGCAGTGGAACAAAAGGTGAGTTTGTGTACAACTTTGAACAAAATACGGTAATGCTTGTAATCGCGAGAAAGTATATTATTATCATTATTATGCATACAAACTTTAAAAAGAAATTAAAAAAAAAATTATATGTAGAATTTCAGAATGATGCTATAGAATGGATGAATTCTGGTTTCTTTTTAACTAATCATTTCGAGTGACACCTATATTATAATGAAACTGCTAGATCCATCTGTGCAACATGTCACGTGATTCTATGACGTGATCTCTATTTATAGAAAAGACTGAATGACGTCTAACTCGGTCATTTCTCTCTTTCGGAAAATGGCCGAGTAGTTACGTATGTAACATCTGTCCTGTTCCGAAAGGATGGAAACAAATGGCGTCGCCCAGAGTTGTTTTATTTTTAAAAAAAATCTACAATGGGCTTACCTGTGAAGTACACTATTAAAATTTATTTCATCCCAATTTAAAAAAAAAGAAGAAACAAGAGGCCCATGGGCCTTATAGGTCACCTGAGCATTATGCAACAACTTTCCAGTGATTAAATTTGATTCATGTTTTAATCCAGATGCTATGGCATTCACAATTTTGAAATAGGCACCATTGATCATCATAACAATACACTTAGCAGTTGCTTAGTTTGTTTACTTAATACCCATAGACAGGGTAGGGGAATTAAAAAATGCATTTCAAATAATCAGTAATATTCAGCATGATCAGTAATGCCCCAATCACACATGAACCCCTGACCCTTAGGCCTAGATCCACACATTGCACAATTTTTGAAAAGGCACCCTTGCTTTTCAAAAACATTTGATAAATACCAAGGAGCAGATTTCAAACAATTCATCCAGTTTCAGTATATAAGTACAGTCCCCCCTCCTTTATGGTACCCCTGACCCTGGGGCCATGAAATTCACAATTCTGGAAGATTAGGACCCTTGCTCATCATAACTACATAGGTAGTTCATCTGCTTAATACCAAGGAGCAGAGAAGAAAACTTTCAAAGATTTAGTGTATTTTCACTGTATAATCAATAGAGCCCCACCCTATCACTAGAACCCCTGACCCTGGGGCCATAAAATTCACAATTTTGGTAGAGGCACTCTTGCTCATCATAACTATGCACTTAGTTAGTTTATTTAATACCCAGGAGCAGAGAAGAAGATTTTCAAAGAATTCATGTATTTTCACTATATAATAAATAGAGCCCCCCCCCCCCTTACACCAGAACCCCTGACCCTGGGGCCATAAAATTCACAATTTTGGTAGAGGCACTCTTGCTCATCATAACTATGCACTTATTTAGTTTATTTAATACCCAGGAGCAGAGAAGAAGATTTTCAAAGAATTCATGTATTTTCACTATATAATCTATAGAGCCCCACCCTAACACCAGAACCCCTGACCCTGGGGCCATAAAATTCACAATTTTGGTAGAGGCACTCTTGCTCATCATAACTATGCACTTAGTTGGTTTATTTAATACCCAGGAGCAGACAAGAAGATTTTCAAAGAATTCATGAAATTTCACCATATACTTATTTAGCCCCACCCTAACACCAGAACCCCTGACCCTGGGGCCATGAATTTCACAATTTTGGTAGAGGACTCAATGCTGATTACAATCATGCAAACAGTTTGACTGCTTGATGTCCAGGAGTAAAGAAGAAGATTTTTAAAGATTGCACTAATTTTAATGGTTTTTGCCCCACCCCCAGGCCCCAGGGGGGCAGGGCCCATGAAATTCACAATTTTTGTTCCCCTTCACCCAAAGATGCTATATGCCAAATTTGGTTGAAATTGGTTCAGTGGTTTCAGAGAAGAAGCTGAAAATGTTCAAATGTTAACGCACGACGCACGACGAACGACGACGGACGAAAAGTGATAGCAATAGGTCACCTGAGTTTACTCAGGTGACCTAAAAAGAAAGTTTTTCTGTTTGAGCTTAGAAACTTTAGTTAAATTGAAACATTGTAGGTACAAATATGACACCACGTGTATCAACACCTGTTCTAAAGACAACAGGTAAAGTAAATCTTACAGTTATGTACAATCAGCAGTTCTACATATAGACCTTTGTACAAAAAAAAAAGAAAGGGAAAAAGTTTGTTTTTTTTTTCACCCGCATCAACAAGAAATTCTCAGTATTTAGGTTATTTGGTAGTAAGATTAAAAGAAAAGATGTTATCAAACTTTATGAATAAAAAAATATATAAGACAGTTTGAAACTAGGTTCCATGATAATATACATTTTTGATAATCATTTTAAATAAAATTTTTAGTGAGGAAGGATAGGAAATGAACATTTTTGCAAGAATGGAATTAAAGTATTTCAGAATTCATTGTAGAGTTGCAAACAACAATGAGAGAAGGATCAACACCCCCAACTCTGCCTTCAGAAAAGCAGAACAGTCATCCAGATGTATCGGGTTAGTTTAAGACTGTAATCTTTTTTTCCCCTTGGAATATTTAATGTTAAAATTGTATTTTTGATAAATCATTTTTTTTTAAACTTTTTTTTTCTGGTAAGTAAATTACAAAAAAAAGGCAACCTATAATAATTAAGAGGAAAGATGGTGAATTATTTTTTTATAAAAATTTTAAATAATCTAGATTTTTTTTTACCATAGCTGATGGTGTGTATAACGTACATTCAAGACCCCAGAGAAGTTTGTGTGAGCATATTACGTTTTTTTAATGAAAAATAAATTTTAAAAAAAGTTTATGCATGTTAAAACACATGGTTAGGATACATTTACCTTTTCTTTCTAAAATGCACCCTTTTTCAATACAGTTGTATTCTTTAAAAACTAGAAAAAGGTTTACATCAATGTTGATGTTGAAATGTTATGAATAATTAATTAACAAAAATAAAATTATGTATTTATAATTGTAGATGTTCAGGATCTGGGAGGCATGGAGGAACCAAAAACCATAGGTTAGTTCTTCATCAACCTACGCATGCTGTGCTCTTTTGACACGCAATTTGATTCAATTTAAAATGTTGAGAAAACATGAAAATTTCAAACAAATATATATTTTTTAAAAAATGGAAAAGTGAAGTCTCAATGAAACAATGTGCGAAGGGTGTCTGATGAGAATTTAATGATATAAGGCATATTCCCAGGCTGATGTAGAATAGGGTAATATTCAGAAGTTGATACAAGATAATAATCTGTTTATTTCTTTTAAAATATGCTTCTTTACATCTTAATAGGTTTCCTTATCTGGGCGCTAATAACAACGCTGACCGTGTTGGTCTTTATTTTGCGACTGCTCACCCGCATGAATCACAGATGTTGTGCTCACAACAGTGCAGACGCAGCTGACCAACTAGATGCTTGGAGCCATACTACTGTGCAACTAGGAACTGAGACCCACACTACTGTGCAACCAGGAAGTGAGACCCACGCTACTGACCCTGAAATATTACATGCAACACTTAATAACTTCAAGACGCACTTATCAAAGCGAGGCTACTCTACTTCGGAAATTGATCCTATTATCAAGGAAACGGTCAACACAAACCGATCAGAACTCATCATCAAAAAGACTAAAGAACAGTCATTACGTAACCCTACAGTACTGGTTACTAAATTTAACCCTTGCGTTAAAGGACTGAAAAAACGAATTCTAAAATATTGGAACACCATTCTTAGAAATCCAGAATGCAAAACTTTATTTAATTCTCAACCAATCATTGCTTACAGCAAACACAAGAATATAGGTGACGAGATAATCCGGTCTCACCTAAAACAAACACCATGATTTATGTCCGTGACCCCTGATGAGGCTTCTTAATAGCCGAAACACTCTACAACTACTTGCATAATTCAAATCAGATATTAATCTGCTCTATGCAAAAAACATATCTACTTAAAGTGTGGTTTGGAGTGTCGGGTCCTAATAAATCTCTTACAAGTTTGGTTGATTGATGTCGCTAATTTTCATTCTCAACCAATCATTGCTTACAGCAAACACAAGAATATAGGTGACGAGATAATCCGGTCTCACCTAAAACAAACACCATGATTTATGTCCGTGACCCCTGATGAGGCTTCTTAATAGCCGAAACACTCTACAACTATTTGCATAATTCAAATCAGATATTAATCTGCTCTATGCAAAAAACATATCTACTTAAAGTGTGGTTTGGAGTGTCGGGTCCTAATAAATCTCTTACAAGTTTGGTTGATTGATGTCGCTAATTTTCACAAATTAAGTGATAGCCGATATGGCAAGGTCTTTTCTTTAGTTGTGTGTTTTAAAAGTCATGCAAGTTATGATATTATACTTATCGAATTTTTTATATGCATGAATAAAATTATTTTAGAGAATCAATTGCAATGAACCATACAAAATTCAGAACTGAAGTAATTATAATGATCATTTATTCATGAGTGCGATTTACAACGTCATGTTTCTGACATTTAAGGTTTTTTTTCTCGGATTAAGCGAAGTGGAGTTTCCCTGCATCTGAATTGTGAAGAATTAATGCTAATATTATTTCAAACAAGAGGCCCAGGGGCCACAGCGCTCACCTGAGCACATCAGCTAGGAAAAAACACATCAGATCAGAACTGAAAGTTAATTTAAGTTGGGGGGGGCTTGAATTTTAACCCCCAAGGGGATCATAATTTGAACGAACTAGAATCTACATTACCTGAGGATGATTCCATACAAATATTACTAATCCTGGCTTTGAAGTACTTGAAAAGAAGATTTTTAAAGATTTTTCCTATATATTCCTATGTAAAACTTTGATCGGCCATTTTGGCCCCGCCCTACCCCCGGGGGTCATGACTTGAACAAACTTGAATCTACTCTACCTGAGGATAATTTCACATGAGTTTCATCTTTCCTGTTTCAATGGTTCTTGAGAAGAAGATTTTTTAAGATTTTTCCTATGTATTCCTATTTAAAAAACTTTGATCGGCCATTTTGGCCCCGCCCTACCCCCGGGGTCATGTCTTGAACAAACTTGAATCTACACTACCTGAGGATGATTCCAAATGAGTTTCATCTTTCCTGGCCCAGTGGTTCTTGAGAAGAAGATTTTTAATGATTTTTCCTATATATTCCTATGTAAAACTTTGATTGGCCATTTTTGCCCCGCCCTACCCCCGGGGGTCATGACTTGAACAAACTTGAATCTACACTACCTGAGGATGATTCCACATGAGTTTCATCTTTCCTGGCCCAGTGGTTCTTGAGAAGAAGATTTTTAATGATTTTTCCTATGTATTCCTATGTAAAACTTTGATCGGCCATTTTGGCCCCGCCCTACCCCCGGGGGTCATGACTTGAACAAACTTGAATCTACACTACCTCAGGATGATACCACATAAGTTTCATTTTTCCTGGCCCAGTAGTTCTTGAGAAGAAGATTTATAAAGATTTTTCCTATATATTCCTATGTAAAACTTTGATCGGCCATTTTTGCGCCGCCCTACCCCGGGGGTCATGACTTGAACAAACTTGAATCTACACTACCTGAAGATGATTCCACATGAGTTTCATCTTTCCTGGCCCAGTGGTTCTTGAGAAGAAGATTTTTAAAGATTTGTTCTATATATTCCTATGTAAAACTTTGATCGGCCATTTTGGCCCCGCCCTACCCCCGGGGGTCATGACTTGAACAAACTTGAATCTACACTACCTGAGGATGATTCCACATGAGTTTCATCTTTCCTGGCCCAGTGGTTCTTGAGGAGAAGATTTTTTAAAAATGCCAATAATTTTTCTCTAAATCATGATTATCTCCCCTTGGAAAAGGGCGTGGCCCTTCATTTGAACAAACTTGAATCCCCTTCACCCAAGGATACTTTGTGCCAAGTTTAATTGAAATTGGCCCAGTGGTTCTTGAGAAGAAGATGAAAATGTGAAAAGTTTACGACAACGACAACGCCGACAACGACGACGACGACGACAACGCCGACAACGACAACGACAGACAACGGACAAATTGTGATCAGAAAAGCTCACTTGAGCCTTTGGCTCAGGTGAGCTAAAAAGTACTTCACTAAACATTCTTTCTCTTTATATCTATATGATTGTATATTTTGCACACTTTTTTTTTAATTAAAAAGTGAAGTCTACGTATTTACCGGTCCCAAACCATCGTTAGCAGAGATTCAGAATTGAAAATACATGTGACCACCTCCCCCGGGATATTCTTTTATCTGATATACAAAATATACTCCCCATCCTAAATTCCCTTACTTCGCATTTATTATAAGCAACATACAAATTTTTTTTGTATAGTTTCTTATTCACGCATGCCTTATAGACCTGCTGTTATGTATAAAATCACCTACATTTTATATGTTTTTGTGGTCTATGTATACTAATGTAAAATGGTGAAAAGATTCAAATAAATGATTGATTGATTGAAAAAATATGCGTAAATATAAACTAAAAAATGAAATTAAATACTGAAGAAAGATAGATCTTTAGATCTTTGAGAATTGAAATAATAATTAAAATAATTCTGTACAACGTACATGATGTCCATGTATATCTCTCTCTTTTTTTTTATTATAGTACCAAAGTGTTCTATTCTAAATATTTTTTTCAGATCTATTAATTTTTCTCTAAAACATGAAATTAAATACTGAAGAAAGATAGATCTTTGAGAATTGAAATAATAATTAAAATAATTCTGTACAACGTACATGATGTACATGTATATCTCTCTCTTTTTTTTATTATAGTACCAAAGTGTTCTATTCTAAATATTTTTTTCAGGTCTATTAATTTAATTCGTCATCAAATTCAATATTACGGAATTTTTTTTTCGTGCGACCATAAACTTTAAGATTGTTCCAAAGTAGCGAGTACATGTACAGTGTAGGTAGTTTGTTTATTGATAACACCGGTAGCCGCAGACGAAGAACAATAGATGATTAGTGCCTATTGTTACGCTGACCACTACAATTTGCATGGAATATACAAGTTGTACCCCGTTCTACCCCGGGGCTGAAGACATGTACACAGTACAGCCAAATCACAGGTCGATCACCGATTTCTAAAGGTGTTTTCCTTTCAACTTTTTACCATGCAAAATTAAAATCGATCAATTTGATCATATACTAATAGTAACATATTAAATTAAGTCTCATTTCAGTTCTTATTTCCCATTCCATAAAATCAAATTTAAAAAAATTTATGAGATTTCAAAACTGATTCAATAAAAAATGATTTTGTATTTAAATTTTAAGAGACAAACTAAACACATGTACCTTTGCACTAGGGATTCTTAACATCTAATTTTTAATCAGCTCGCCCCATTTGCCGGTTGCACATGCATACAGTGTGTACTTGTACATATGTACATGTGAAGGAGTTTAATTCTTGGACGATCTACAAACGTCTACATAACATTAAAATAAATGAATAAATAAATAAATTATTAATTAAAATCAGTGCCCACAGATTGAACATATTCAAACCTGTTTTCACCTCTTAGTTACTTTTTAAAAGGGATAAAAAATTTATAATTTTCGAGCAAATTTTCAAATATTTCGACAAAAAGAGACCAGAAAACTGAACATTTAACAATATAAATATAATCGGTTTCGAGAAACAAAGGCCTTCAAAAACAAAATGTTGTCCAAACTCGACAAGTTGACCAAGTGAAAACGGAACAAATCTAACATTTCTAACCTGCAGAAAACTTTTTTTTATCCCGATTTTTTCCCATCCATTAAGAACTTTTCTCTTATTATTGAAAAAAAAAAGATCACTGATCTCCCTACATAATTTTCTTGAGAGTCGGGAAAGGCGGCGATGGATCTTTTTTAACATAGCATAATTTTCTTTTTATTTACAGTTTATTTTTCAATAAGATCTTATGCAAAAGTAAAATTCCAATTTTTTTCTGCAGCTATTTTTTTTTTATTAATTCTATTTCTATATATTCATTCTATTAATAATTCATTTGATTATTGTCAAAATTTTCACAAACGTAATGTAGAAATTGAGATCAGCATACATACATACAGTCATGTAATTTTGTCATAAGCAGAACATTTAAAGAAATATTAAAATTTTGTCATGATAATTCAAGTAAAAGAAAGTAATAATGAAAGGTTTTTATAGCCCTCTGTTTCATTTTAAACCAATTACCAGGTTAAAAACAATGACCACAGTAATTATCAGTAAATCTTAGCATCGACAGTACCTCAACAGTAATTATCAGCAATTCTCAGCAACGACAGTACCTCAACAGTATTTATCAGACTCAACAGTAAAAGGCAACAGTAATTATCAGTATTTATCAGAAACGACAAAAAATATCAGCAACAACAGTAATAATAACAGTAAATATCAGTATTTATCAGCAACAACAGCACAGTATCAGTAATTATCAAACTTTATCAGTAAAATTAGGGATTCTCAGCACTTTTTTCGTCCAGTAGTGATATTCATATACTGTAGTAAAAAAGGTGGGGTCAGCATTTCAATGAACATGTTCGATCGTTATTAAAATCGTTCCTGTTGAAGTTTTAGATATCAGACGTACACAGACGGCAAAGCATATGGTATAACATATTAACTACAACCACACAATTCCGCAAAATCCACCAACTAATTATTCAAGCAGAAAAGCATTTCGATTTATGCCTAGCTCTCAAAGCTCTCATGATCAACAAATATCAAATATTGGAGGATGGTACAATTAAACTAACAAACAATTCATTGGTAAGTTCTGCATTCTCCTTATCTAAGAAATATCAATCTTAGGAAGATGGGGAGAACAATTAAGACGTCCAAAATACCTATTTGCTTCACATTATTCAAATAAATATGGACCACACTTTGGGAAAAGGGGTCTTAATGACATTTTTAATGAAAATGAGTTTTTCACTGTAAATAAGTAGCACTGATCTGAAAAATAATATAACCAAGTTTGGTTGTTTCAAAAGAGGTAAACCAAGAGGTCATGGCAAGGATGTTCCTCGCAGTAGGCCACGCCCAGTGAGAGGCAGGGGTAGAGGTCGGGGAAGGCAAGACTTAAAAAAATGGATGAATTAGCTTTAAGGCACACGCAGAGCAGAACAAACGTGGCAAATGTAAAATATGCATTTTTTCTCCTATAACAATAACAAATAGATAGATCAATATTTGTTTTAGACTACTTCTGATGTTGTTTTAGGCACATGTACAGAATCTCTCTCGTGAGCAATGTAAGAATTTATTGGTTGACCTTGCAGCAAGATCCCCAAAGTCTCATCTTGGATCTGGTGGACGAGACTTCAAGATCCAATGACCAGCAATCCACTTCCAGTTTGTCGTGGTGCACTTGCACCAGATGTAGAAAAAATGCCAACAGAATTGGAAAAAGTCTGTTGTGGAAGGCAGCCTCAGCAC